CTTGTGTCGTGCTCCAGTCCAGGCCACCCACGAACAGCTTTCTGCAAACAAAGCACAGGGCACGTTCAGGGCCTACAGCAGATGCTCCATCTCATTTAAGGCACAGCTCAGCTCTTCTGGACAGGTCTGGGGGTACCAGGACCTACAAAGCTGGCCCCATACTCAAAGCTGCTGATGAAACCAAACCCTTCCTCCATCCCCGCTCTCTGCTCCTCCCTCGCTCACCACAGAACACTCACTTGGCTGCCAGCACCTTCTTGTGGGGTGAAAGCAAAAGCAGAACTGCCATGCTCAGGCCTGAGACAGAAGTCAAACCTGTGCAGCAGGTACTAATTAACAGAGCAGCACTAATCCAGCAGCAGTTGTGAAACCATCATACAACCCAGTTTCCAGATAGTGCTGGGCAGCACTACATGACTTTCTCATGGCTAAATCCCAAACTAAACTGCTTCAAACTGATTCAACTCTTCCTCTGCAAAAATCACCCAAATCTGCAGGGTTTCCTGTCCCAGCACGCCCAGCAACCTGGGTAGGTGCTACAGGAGCTCCACGCCAGGCTGCCAGCTCTGCAGCTCTTTATCAACTCCTGGGTGTGACAAAACTTCCAGCAGTCATTTACTCAGTAATTAAAGGTTGGTTAGAGCCACCTCAACATTTGGCCCTTGTCAGTGCCAAGAATCAACCCCAAAAAACACCCTCATAGCTGTCTGCAGCTTCACCCTGAGGAGCAGCATCAACCTCTGCTCTCTGGGAGCAGGGGCAGGACCCAGGGAACAGCTGGAGCTGTCAGGGGAGGTTCATGCTGGGTATCAGGAAAGGTTCTTCCCCAGACAGTGCTGGGCACTGCCCAGGCTCCCCAGGACATGGTCCCAGCCCCGAGGCTGTCAGAGCTCCAGGAGCATCTGGACACTGCTCTCAGGGACAGGATGGGATTGTTGGGGTGTCTATGAAGGGCTTTGATGGTCCCTGGGCTTCCCTTCCAGGAAGAGAGGAGATTGTGTGATTCTGTGAAAAACTCTGCTGTTAATGGCTCCATGGCTCTGCACAGACAAGAACTGGGAAAGTTTATTTTTGGGGATGTCCCCAGGTTCTCCATCAGACCTCAAAGAGAAAAAACACCTTGCTTTGTATTCTAGTTGCCTTCACCTATACCTGAGTACAGCTGAGGGTGGTGGGAATTCCTGCATCTTCACTTACATGCGCAAAGTTGAATTTCTCCTAACAAAATATTGAACTTCCTCTCACCTGCTCTTTTCAGGAGCAGGTAATGGCAGGGAGAGCCCAGCCACCCCCAGTAAGAGCTGCAGGTGCACTGGGAGTACCAGGGAAGTGAAAGCCTTGCAACTGGAAGTTCCTGTGGAGCAGGGCAGCTCACTGACAAAACCAGCCAGTCCCTTTCCACTTTGATTCAATTCTCTGTGATAGGACATCATGTCACAACCCTTGCGCACCAGCCAAAGTGACAAAATTCAATACTACACAGCACCTACGAGCCTTGTTCCACTGAGGCAAATTCTGTTCCTAAGTTCCGAGCCGAGACGTGACACGAGTCTTGTCTTTCACAAAAACAGACCAACTGGTAAGCGCTGATCAAAGCGTCTCCTTGAGCAGCCAGCAAACAACTGAGCCGGTGACACGTGAGGCAAAGACAGCCCTCAGTGTCACAGCAGCAGCCTCTGCTGTGTTATCATCACGCTAAAGGACGTGCCAGCCCTCCCTGAGAGCAGCAGGGCGTGCACCCCTGCCCTGCCCTCTCTCACAGCAGGCCTGTTTTCTGCGGGCGTGCTGGGCATGACCAAGTTTCCCTCAAGGACTGGAAAAGTGCCCCCAGCTCCTCCGGCAGCGCTGGCTCCTGGCACGGGCTCGGGGCCTTGCGCAACAGCAGCCAGTTCACAGCAGCAGGTCGTGTTCTGGGAGCAGCCAGGCCTTGCCAAGGTGGCCCCACCACCCCGGTGGCTGCCACAACTGTCCCTGCCCACCTTTCCTCTCCACACGCAGGACACAAACCCCTCTGCTGTGCTGTTATTTTTAAGGAAAATAAGTAACTCTAATTTCCTGAAACCAACTGATCTACTGCTATATTCACAATAAAAAATAGCAAAGTAAAACCAACTGATCTACTGCTATATTCACAAGAAAGTTTTGATATGTATTAGCAACATTTTCTTCACCAACCACATTTGAGGTTATGGTTTGTTTTGGGGTGTTTTTAACTAAATTTGATAGCTTGGTATAAAAGTTTAATCGATTTTACATCCTTGTTAAAGTACCAGCTGTGTTCTGAGAGAACACCAAGCTGTCTGCGGGGAGGGAGGTCACTGAAACCTTCCAGTTCCACCATGAATTATTTGTAGTCACCCTACATGGACCGAAACAGCAAAGCTGGGTAGCTCAAGGCCAGCTCCAGCAGCTCTGTGGAAATCCACAGCCCTGGTTCATACACATGCTGTGGAATACCAAAAGCCAGGAATCCTCTGCCTTGGGATCCTCCATGGTTTGAAGACACTGAGCAGGGCCAAAGTTCACAAAAATCCAGATGTGGTATGGTACAGGACAGCTGTGAGGCAGGATGGGTGTGTGAGTGTGCTCTGCCCCCAGGCTCAGCTGCATCACCAGCCCTTTCCCAAGGTCTCACCCATACTCCATCCCAGAAAACTTTTGGTCCTAACAGTTTATGGGCTGGCAGTTATTAAATTCATAGAAATGTATAAAATTGATAGAATAGCCTGAGTTGGAAGGGATCCAAGAGCACTGAGTCCAGCACTGACACCCCAACAATCCCACCCTGTGTATCCCTGGGAGGGGTGTCCAAATGCTCCTGGAACTCCGGGGGCTGGCACCATGCCCTGGGGAGCCTGGCAGTGCCCAGCATCCTGGAGGGAAGAACCTTTCCTGCTCTCCAACCTGAACCTCCCCAGGCTCAGCTCCAGCCTCAGGTTCTGCCCCTGCTCCCAGAGAGCAGAGACTGCTGCTGCCTCTTGGGAAGAAGCTGCAGACCCTGCTGAGTCTCCCCTCACGTTCTTCAATGTTTTTAGCTCACACGTGCTGACACCACCCCAAAGCCCACACCTCCATAAAGATCCAAATTTACAGACTGGAGGGCATCACTGCCCATCCCTGCTGGAATGCAAAGCCACTCCAGCACAGCCAGTGACAGCACAAACCACCAGCCTGGCTTTTGGGCAGGTGAGTCTGTCCACCACAAGCAGTGAGATCCTGACAGCAGGATCTCAACACCCCTGAAGCAGCAGAATTCCCCACAGGGATCACCTCAGGAGCAGAAAGTGGGATAATGACTCCTCAGAAGTTGCAGCTGTATAATAAGTTTGAACCAAGTGTTCTGCCTCACTACTTCCTGGGCACATTTTCATTGCTAATTTATTCTTTTTTGCCATAAATATACTTGCTGCCGGAGCAAATCAACTCAGGATTAGTAAAAAAAGCATGTACAGGTATTTTAAAACCACCAAAACTCAACAAAAGCACAAACTCTTTGCCTACATAAACAATCTGGGGTTTGATTAATAGCTCTGATCAACACCTCAGCACAGCCCCCATCAGCTGCAGGACAAAAGGACCAAGATCAGCACCTTTCTTCATCCAAACCAGCCCCAAGTATTAATTAATTATAACAATAACACTCAACAAGGCCCCTGCCTACCCATGCCAAGACACCTGCAAGGCTTGCAGCTTCCTTAGGTACTTTCTCTGAAAATCTCTGCCTGGAAAAGCAGCTGAATTCATAACTTCCCATCCAAACCTGCCTCTCACAACAGCTTTAAACCAGAGCTTCCTTCTGAGGGCTGCAGCAGCTGAGTTTGTTCTACACTCTCATCTTCCCTCTGAGCACTTTTGGGGGAGGAGAATAAAGAAAATTTCCCTCTCTGATCAACCCCCAATTCTTCCCAGTCTGGTTACAGCTCTGAAGGATCACAGGCTGTGACTGGGAACAAACTCTGCAACAGCCCAGCCTGCTCAGGAGGGGAGCTGATGATATTCCATGGAATAACCAGGAGGTTATCATGGAGGGGGCTGATGATATTCCAGGGAAAAACTGGAGGTTATGCATGGAGGGGGCTGATGATATTCCAGGGAATAACCTCGAGCCTGGCACTCACCTACAGCTCGGGAAGCCAGACCTGATCAGGTCTCTCACAAGGCACCAGACAGTGACTAAGGTCCAGGAGCAAATAAAAACACTTTCAAAGCAAAACCCACTTATTTAAACAGGCCTCATGCAATGTGTGTTGAAACTGGATGATCTCTAAGGTGCCTTCCAACCCAAACCACTCCAGTGTGATATTCCAATCACTTATCCTGCCTCCTGTACTTTTAGGATTTACAAATTAAGAACATGCAGTAAATAAGCAGCTTACAAAGCAGTGCAAGCAGCATGGGACAAGGGGCTCATGCTTCCAGTTTCAAACAAGGTGACCAGTCCTAATGGGCAAATACTGTGCCAAAACTGGAAGAACCAGCCAAGGATTTTTTTTTTTTAAATTTGGTTTTTGTACTTTGAGTTCTACCATGCCCAAGCCTGCAGCCTGACAATTTCAATGTCACCAGGGTACAGCTCTCAAGCAGAATAACACTGAGTGCAACTGGATGATCTCTAAGGTCCCTTCCAACCCAAGCCTTGCTATGATTCTAAAAGCACATCACAAGAACCAGACCGGTGTCAGGTTTTCGGTTTGAAGCCACAAAACCCCCGGCAACGCTTAAAACCGGGATTTTCCTGCCTGGAACACATCCCGGGCAGAGGACAGCAGGGGGGAGCTCGGGAGGGCAGCCCTGCGGGGGACACGGAGGGTGAGGGGAGGCTCCTGGTGCCACCTTTGTCCCACCACCTTCCCCCTCCTCCACCGCAAGCCCCTCGGGGCGGCCCTGATGAGTCACCCGAACAAAGTCCCCAGCGGGGTCACACAATCACAGGACAGACCCTCAAGGACCAGTTCCTGGCCCTGCACAGAACTCTTCAACAATCTCACCCTGTCCCTGGGAGCGTTGTCCAAGCGCTTCTGGAGTTCTGGCAGCCTCAGAGTCGGGACCATTCTCTGGGGAGCCCGGGCAGTGCCCCAGTACCCTCTGGGGGAAAAAACCTTTCCCTGATAGCCACCCTAAACCTCCCCGGACACAGTTCCAGCCGTTCCCTCGGGTTCTGTCACTGGTGCCAGAGAGCAGAGATCGGAGCTGTCCCTCTGCTTCCCCTCACGAGGAAGTTTTAGACTGCGATGGGATCTCCCCTCACACTCCTCCAGGCTGAACACACCAAGTAACCTCAGCCGCTCCTCCAAGGCGTTTCACCACGTCCGCTGCCCTCCTTTGGACGCTAACACCCCACTATCTTTCTTATATCGCGGCGCCTAAAACTGCGCGCAGGACTCAAGGTGAGGCCGCACCAGCAGAGCGGGACAATCCCCTCCCTCGACCGGCGTGTTGTCCCCCACGCCCCGCGTCCCCGCGTCAGGCGACAGGAGAGGAGGACACGAAGGGACAGAGGTGGGACGCGAGGGGATCCGGTGCGGGCGGGCGCGGGAAGCGCCGCGGGCGGGTGACCTTGGGCGCGCGCACCTGCCGCAGCCCCGCGCGCGCGCCGGTCACGTGACGGGGGTGGGGGGGGGGGGGGGGGGGGCGCCCTCACGGCCCCAACATGGCGGGACCGGCCCCCCCCTCAGCACCCCCGGTCTGGGACCGGCTCCCTCTTAATGCCCTCCGGCCCGGCACCGGTCCGCGCTCAGCCCCTCCCGGCCCGGGGAAGCCCCGGCGGGACCCTCTCGTGAGGTTGCGGGAAAAGGTGACCGAACCTCGCACCACCGTCCCAGCGCGCTGCCCTCCCCTTCCCCTCACCCGATCTCATCGGCGCCTCCCACGCTGTTCATGGCGGCGACTCCTCCGGGGCCGCGCCCGGCTCTTCCCTCCGGTGGCGGCGGTGCCAGCGGCGGGTCGTGGGGCCGCGGGCGGGCGCTCCCGGCCGTGTCCCGGTTCCCGTGTCCCGGTTCCCCCCCCGCCGCCCCCCGGGGCCTCCGCGGGGTCCCACTGCCCATCTCGGGGGTCCCACTGCCCAGCCCGGGGTCCCATTACCATCCCGGGGGTCCCACTGCCCAGCCCCGGGGTCCCATTGCCCGTTCTGGGAGTCCCATTACCGTCCCGGGAGTCCCACTGCCCATCCCCGGGGTCTCATTGCCCATCCTGAGGATCTCATTACCCGTCCCGGGGTCCCACTGCCCATCCCCAGGGTCCCACTGCCCATCCCGGGGTTCCACTGCCCATCCCCTGGGTCGCATTGGCCATCTCAGGGGTCCCACTGCCCATCTCAGGGTCCCGTTACCCATCCCCGGGGGTCCCATTGCCATCCCCCGAGGTCCTATTGCCTGTCCTGCACTGTCTGCAGCCCCCCGGGACCCTCCCTCTGCCTGGCTCTGCAGGGTCGCATTGGCCATCTCAGGGTCCCATTGCCTATCCTGGGGGTCTCATTACCTGTCCCGGGGTTCCACTACCCATCCCCGGGGGTCCCATTGCCTGTCCTGCACTGTCTGCAGCCCCCCGGGACCCTCCCTCTGCCTGGCTCTGCCCTGGGCGTGCGGGTCACCCTGGCACCCACAGCGCTGTGCATGGCCCGGAGTGTGGCACTGTCCCTGCCCCCGGGACCCTCCCTCTGCCTGGCTCTGCCCCGGCACCCACAGTGCTGTGCATGGCCCGGAGTGTGGCACTGTCCCTGCGTGCAACCCTGGAGGGACACAGCGTGGGACACGGCATGGGACACAGGGAAAACCCCTTCCCTCCCTCCGTGTCCCCCAATCATTCCCTCTCTGGCCATGCACACCGGGAGTGTCACCGGGAGCGGGGACATCCTCTGCACCCCCAGAACACCCCAGGGCCACGTGTGACCTCTCAGGCCCCGCCGTGGTGCCCCGTTCCCAGTAAGGGCTCCCATTCCCGATAAGGGCTCCCATTCCCGATAAGGGCTCCCGATCCCGATAAGGGCTCCCGATCCCGATAAGGGCCCCCGATCCCGATAAGGGCTCCCATTCCCGATAAGGGCCCCCGATCCCCGCAGGGGCCCCAGCCGGCTGTGCACACTCAGCACTTTCCAGCAGGGCTATTTAAAGCCGGCCAAGAGCCCCGTGGCCCTTTCTCTCCCTCTCCCTCCTCCCGGCCCGTCCAGCTGGACTTTCCTCCCGCAGCCATGAGCTCCGGAGCGGCGGCGGGGCCGATCTTCAGCGAGGGCGAGGACTGCAGGGCGGCCTGGAGGGCGGCCACGGCGGGCTACGATGAGCCCGATGCCCACCTGGAGATCCTGGGCAAGCCGGTGATGGAGCGCTGGGAGACCCCCTACATGCACTCGCTGGCCACCGTGGCTGCATCCAAGGGTAACGGGGGGCTCCGGGGTGTGCTGGGGGTGCAGCTTCCCCAAAAGCAGCTGGTGTGGGGGGAGATGTTGTGCTGGGGGACCCCACTGCTTGTGCCCCCCACTGCATGTGGCCCTCGTGCAGTGACAGGGGCAGCAGGGCCATGGTGGCATTTGTGTCCTTGTGACGCAAATGCCACCATTCTTGAAAGGGGATGGGGACATGGGGAGGGGATGCAGCCACCTCCCATCCAGGCCCTGCTGATTTTGGGGATGTTTCCCCTCCCAGGATCTGCTGCTTTTTTGGCTGTTTTCCTTGGCAGAGGGAGGGTTGGACGTTGTATGTTCTCACTAGGATAACTGGGGGGGTTTGCTGGGGGCAAAGGGCCACTGTGTGGGGACAGCAGGTGACAGGGACACAGGGGCAGCTGGGGGGACAGCAGGTGACAGGGACATGGGGCTGCTCCCAACTTCTCCCCTCAGCGCCAGCAGCACCACGTGCTCCCAACCTCCACCCAAAGAGCCCATTTTGGGGAAAGAATGGGTCAGAATTCAGGGCTTGGGGGACGGGGAGTTTGAGGCACAGAAAAGCCAGAGCTGTGAGTGCTGGGTTCCACCTGCAGGCGGCCGCGTGCTCGAGGTGGGGTTTGGGATGGCCATCGCCGCCTCCAAGGTGCAGGAATTCGGCATCGAGGAGCACTGGATCATCGAGTGCAACGAGGGCGTTTTCCGGCGCCTGGAGCAGTGGGCAAAGGCACAGCCACACAAGGTCAGGGGCACGGCGGGCTGTGCCAGGGTTGGGGGTGCCTGTGGCCCCCCCAGCTCACCCCTCTGCCCCCCACCCGCAGGTGGTGCCCCTGAAGGGGCTGTGGGAGGACGTGGTGCCAACGCTGCCGGACGGGCACTTCAGCGGTGAGACATCAACAGCAGGGTGGGCAGGGGCTGGGGCGGGGACCCCACTGCAAAGTGGGGGTGCAGCAAAGCCCAGGACATCCCTAAGCCATGGAAAGGGGGGGAACAGTTTGGCCAGGATGCAGGTGGAGCGCACATCCTCCCATGGGGATGGGGACAGGGCACAGCCCTGGGGCCCTTGTCCTGGGGAGCAGATCCTTGTCCTGGGGAAATGGATCCTTGTCCTAGGGAGCAGATCTTTGTCTTGGGGGAAATGGATCCTTGTCCTGGGGAAATGGATCCTTGTCCTGGGGAGCAGATCTTTGTCTTGGGGGCTATCACATCGCTGCCTTCCAGGGCTTAGAGACATGCAGGTGGTGCCCCTGAAGGGGCTGTGGGAGGACGTGGTGCCAACGCTGCCGGACGGGCACTTCAGCGGTGAGACATCAACAGCAGGGTGGGCAGGGGCAGGGACCCCACTGCAAAGTGGGGGTGCAGCAAAGCCCAGGACATCCCTGAGCCATGGAAAGGGGGGAACAGTTCAGCCAGGATGCAGGTGGAGCGCACATCCTCCCATGGGGATGGGGACAGGGCACAGCCCTGGGGCCCTTGTCCTGGGGAGCAGATCCTTGTCCTGGGGAAAATAGATCCTTGTCCTAGGGAGCAGATCTTTGTCCTGGGGAAATGGATCCTTGTCCTGGGGAGCAGATCCTTGTCCTGGGGAAATGGATCCTTGTCCTGGGGAGCAGATCTTTGTCTTGGGGGCTATCACATCGCTGCCTTCCAGGGCCTAGAGACATGGGGGCAAATTGCAATGGGAACATAACAACACCAGGCCATGGAGGGGGATTTTCCCGGGACACAGGAGCCCCTCAGGGTCTCTCCCAGCTAACAGCCAGCTCCGTGTTCCCGGGCAGGGATCCTGTACGACACCTACCCGCTGTCAGAGGCCACCTGGCACACGCATCAGTTCAACTTCATCCAGGTGACAGCTCGGGGAGCGGCTCTGGGGGAGGAACTGGGGCCGGGGGCTGAGCGGGAGAGCTGAGGGCTGGAGAGGGAGCTGGGGCCGGGGGCTGAGCAGGAGGAGCTGGGGCTCCAGGGGGAGCTGGGCCGGGGAGCTGAGCGGGAGGAGCTGGGGCCGGGGGCTGAGCGGGAGGAGCTGACCCGCATCACAACCCTCCCCATCCCACAGTCCCTGGAGCTGCTGCAGCTTCCCCACCACTGAAACAGGAAAACCTTTCAAACCTACACCTGAATGCAGAGAATTCCCCTCTCCCTGCCCTGCTCCCAGGTGGAGCTGCCCCTTGTACCTGGCACATAAATGTCCACGGGCACGATGCGGTCGCAGCCCCTCACCACGGAGTAGGAATAGTGGTAGTAGCCCCCACCATTGGCACAGCTGCAGGACAGGGACAGGGACAGTGTCAGCCCAGGAAGGTGAGCAGGAGGCCAAGGGAAGGTGGCCCTGGGCAGGTGGGCACTGCCAGGCTCGGAGCCTCCAGCTCCACAGGTGACACTGCCCCATCACGAGCTCTGCCTGGGAGGATTTTATATGAATCCAACCCAACTGGACTGTTCCCATCACCCTCACCAAGCAGGTTCCACAGCCCTCCCTCTCTGCTACAAACCCTTCTATTTTGCCTCAGAGCTTTCCCAGAATTTGTCCTGTTCCAGCCTGGACCTGCCACCCTCAGCCCTGGTGTGGGGACAAGAAAATTGTGAGAATCATGGAATCATTCAGGTTGGAAAAGACCTCTGAGACCATGGAGTCCAACTGATCCCTCATGGAGCAGATTCCAACTGAGTCCCTCATAGAGGGGAGGAGCTGGGGCTCCAGGGGGAGCTGGGGCCGGGAGCTGAGCGGGAGGAGCTGGGGCCGGGGGCTGAGCGGGAGGAGCTGACCCGGCCCCGCATTCCCGGGACAGGGCCACGCCTTCCGCCTGCTGCGGCCCGGAGGGGTCCTCACCTACTGCAACCTCACCTCGTGGGGGGAGCTGCTCAAGACCAGGTACAGCGACATCGAGAAGATGTTCGAGGTGAGTTGTCCCCTCCCCGAAGCTGTGCCCGGGCTGAGCCAGAGCACTCCGAGGCTCTGGAGCTCATCCGTGCTGCTGGGGATGGGCAGGGAACGCCAGAGGGGAGCTCGGAGGGTTTTTCCCCCAGCGTGTCCCCACTTCTCACATGAGACACCCCAACCCACGGCTGCTCCTCGCTGCCCTTCTCTCCTGCAGGAGACCCAGGTGGGGCCGCTGCTGCAGGCGGGGTTCAGGAGGGAGAACATCAGCACGAGGGTGATGGAGCTGCAGCCGCCCCCCGAGTGCCGCTACTACTCCCACCCCAGGATGATCACCCCCACCGTCCTCAAACACTGAGGGGAGCAGGAGCTGGGCATGAGCTGATGAGGAGGAGAAAAGCTCTGATCTCCTTTAAAGTCCCTGAGAGGCGGGTGAAGGCTCAGGATGGATTCCAGTGGACAAAAGGACAGGAAACCCCCTGCCCCAGGAGCCCCCTGCCCTGGAAGGGTCTTGTGGGCTCTGTGGAAGATCTCACCCTGCTCTGTCCCCTCGAGACTTGAAATTCCCAATTAAGCTGGAATTTCAGAATGTGGTTCTGACTAAACGGGTTCCAGAACCAGCCATTTCCTCTAAAATCTGCATCAATTTGAGAAAATACAGGGTGGATTCCCACAAGAGTCAAATAATCCAAACCAGGTGGGAGAAATGGGGCAATCTGAGGCATTCTGGGGCATTTCAGCTTCTCCTGAAGCAACTCCCCAGGGAAGTTTCCCAACATTTTCGGTCAAAGCCCACGGCAGCAAATCCTGACCCCAACACCCCCTCACAGCTCAATAAATGATGTTTCCTCTCTCCCTAGAAGGGATAAAGTCCATTAAAAGGAACAAAATACCCAAACCACTGTTCCCGAGCGATTTATTTGTCTTTCCAAAGTGTGTTTGTCCCTCAGGCACGACCATTCCTCATCCCAGGCTCCTGGGATGCATCCAGGACAGGCTGCTTTATCCTGCCCTGCTTAGGAGCTCTACAATCAGGTTTATTAATCACATTCTGATTTTAAGCATCAGTATTTGACTTGTTACAGAAACCTAATTAATTTCTGGCCCCTGTGCACACTAATATTATGGATTTATTAGATCCTGTGTAGGAATTACCAACAAGGAGCAGGTGGTGAGTAAGGGATGAGCTCAGGGAGGGCTCAGGGATCACCCGGACACGTGTTGGTCTCCAAACTTCCCAACAAAGCTAAGAAAAAATTCTAGCAAAGCCTTTCTGTCACAACATGACATCATCTTCCCTGACAGATTGTTCAGTGTTATCAAACTCAGCTCCTGCTTTTTAGCCCAGCTTTCCAACCCCTCAGATCAGAGGGGTTTATTAAAGACAGAAAAGCACCTGGACCAGGTAGAGTTTTATTGGAAGGCGCGTGAGGAGCCGGATTTGTGCGTAGATGTGAGCAGTGCCCGGGGCAGTGAGTGGGGACATAAATAAAGGCTATTTCCTGTACCAGATCTGCATCCTCCTCTCCCGCTTGATTTTCCTCTGCAGCTGCAGGATCCCGTACAGCAGAGCCTCAGCTGTGGGGGGGCAACCTGAGAGAGAGAAAAGAGAGAAGGGAGGAAGAGGGGAAGGTCGCAGGGCAGGTACCTGCAATGAGTGCCAACCCCAGGACTTATCCCAAAGCTGACTCCCCTCTGGCTTTGTGGCTGGCACAGGCAGGAGTGCAAAGAAACTAAATTGATGCTGTTTATCAAGAATATCTTTATCAAACACAGCAGTTATTTAATTTCAAAGTGTATCCAAACCCCCACTCCCACCCCGCTGACGGTGCCACCACTATCACAACCCTCCCCATCCCACAATCCCTGGAGCTGCTGCAGTTTCCCCACCACTGAAACAGGAAAACCTTTCAAACCTACACCTGAATGCAGAGAATTCCCCTCTCCCTGCCCTGCTCCCAGGTGGAGCTGCCCCTTGTACCTGGCACATAAATGTCCACGGGCACGATGCGGTCGCAGCCCCTCACCACGGAGTAGGAGTAGTGGTAGTAGCCCCCACCATTGGCACAGCTGCAGGACAGGGACAGGGACAGTGTCAGCCCAGGAAGGTGAGCAGGAGGCCAAGGGAAGGTGGCCCTGGGCAGGTGGGCACTGCCAGGCTCGGAGCCTCCAGCTCCACAGGTGACACTGCCCCATCACGAGCTCTGCCTGGGAGGATTTTATATGAATCCAACCCAACTGGACTGTTCCCATCACCCTCACCAAGCAGGTTCCACAGCCCTCCCTCTCTGCTACAAACCCTTCTATTTTGCCTCAGAGCTTTCCCAGAATTTGTCCTGTTCCAGCCTGGACCTACCACCCTCAGCCCTGGTGTGGGGACAAGAAAATTGTGAGAATCATGGAATCATTCAGGTTGGAAAAGACCTCTGAGACCATGGAGTCCAACTGATCCCTCATGGAGCAGATTCCAACTGAATCTCCACTGGAGCAGATTCCAACTGAATCCCCACTGGAGCAGATTCCAACTGAATCCCCACTGGAGCAGTTTCCAGCACAGCAGAAGCATTTTGAAAGCCAAAAGCAACCTGGGATTCTGGATATACACAAGTTTGGCAGCTGCAAAGCCCCTGAATCCATCCCTGCGAGGATTCACACACACCATTCCCAGAAGGAGCCTTTGGGCTCTGCTCTACAAAACTTCTTTAAGAATTTGGAAACAAAAGCAAAGAATTCCCCCCAGGACACCGAGGACATCCCGGCACTCACCTCCCCATGGACACCACGTAGCGAGGCTCTGGCATCTGGTCATAGACCTGCAGAACAGGGATGTTTGGGGTGATGCCCACCTCCCCACGCCGTGCCCAGCTCCCCGTGCCCCCCGTACCTTGCGCAGCGCCGGGGCCATTTTGTTGGTCAGGGTCCCTGCCACGATCATGACGTCGGCCTGGCGGGGGCTGGCCCGGAACACGACCCCGAAGCGATCCATGTCGTAGCGAGGGGCTGCCATGTGCATCATCTCCACGGCACAGCAGGCCAGCCCGAAGGTCATGGGCCACAGGGAGCTCTGTGGGGACAGCCAGCAGCTCAGGGACAGCGTGGGTGACACGCACAAAGGGAGAGTTCGAGGTACCGGGGGATGGAGACGGGGAGAGCTCCGTGAGCAGCCTGAGCGTGTCCAGAGCTGCTGCCCTGACACGGCTAAAGCCACCTCAGAGCCACCCAGGGACAGCAGGGAAGGGACAGCTCAGAGCCCCATGGGGACAGCGGTGTCCCAGCTCAGAGCCCCACGGGGACAGCGGTGTCCCAGCTCAGGGACAGCTCAGAGCCCCACGGGGACAGTGGTGTCCCAGCTCAGAGCCCCACGGGGACAGCGGTGTCCCAGCTCAGGGACAGCAGAGAAGGGACAGCTCAGAGCCCCACGGGGACAGCGGTGTCCCAGCTCAGAGCCCCACGGGGACAGCGGTGTTCCAGCTCAGGGACAGCAGGGAAGGGACAGCTCAGAGCCCCACGGGGACAGCGGTGTCCCAGCTCAGAGCCCCACGGGGACAGCGGTGTCCCAGCTCAGGGACAGCAGGGAAGGGACAGCTCAGAGCCCCACGGGGACAGCGGTGTCCCAGCTCAGAGCCCCATGGGGACAGCGGTGTCCCAGCTCAGAGACAGCTCAGAGCCCCACGGGGACAGTGGTGTCCCAGCTCAGAGCCCCACGGGGACAGCGGTGTCCCAGCTCAGGGACAGCAGAGAAGGGACAGCTCAGAGCCCCACGGGGAGAGCGGTGTCCCATCTCAAAGCCCCATGAGGACAGCGGTGTCCCAGCTCAGAGCCCCACGGGGACAGCGGTGTCCCAGCTCAGGGACAGCTCAGAGCCCCATGGGGACAGTGGTGGCCAGAGAGGGACCAGCCCAGCTAAGGCAGAGCACAGCAGACCCAGGGCACTGTCACTTGTGTCACCCTTCCCCACAGGCAGAGCAGCTGCTCAGGGCAGGGACAGCTCCAGAAGTGCCTTTTCCTGGCGACCAAAGGGCAGTTCCAGACCCCCTCCACACCCTCAGCGCCTTCAGCCTGTGTCCCTCACTGTCACTGGACCCCAGTGTCACCCTCTGGCCGCAGAACTCGGCCACGGGAGCTCTGAGCCTATTTTTATCCTGAGCAGGGGGTGCCTCTGATGTGCCACCCTCTGTCCCTCATGCCAGGGAGGCTCGGGACTCACCCGCCGTGCCCAGTTGACCAGGTCATCGAGCTTGGTGATGACGTACTCGCCACGGCTGCTGGGGACGTAGGATTTCCCCTGGACAACAGCAGAGCTCTTCTGGAGCTGGACAGAGCTGGAAGGAGCAGCACAGAACCATCACTCTCCAGTGATTTCCCTGCAGAATCATTTAGCCCTGCACGGGGCTGTGACTCCCTGAGGAATGACAATGCCACCCCTCTGTTTGTGGCAGAGGAATTTCCCCAGTGTGGGATCTGTGGCTTTGGTGCTGGGACAGAGCCCCTCAGCCACAGGGAGCCCCTGGCTGCCTCTCCCGGGGGCTCCCCGGATTTCAGCAGGGAAGAGAGGAGACCCCTCACAGGAGGTGCCACTGGGACCCCCCCTCTCCTGAAACATGGCACCACCGGCTGTCCCCTGTCCCCAGGGCAGGAGCTCTCACCTGTCAGCGCGATCGGCCGCCGGCGTCTGATGGAGCAGCTGAGCCTGCACGGGACTCACAGAGCCGGGCCTGGGGACAGAAAGGCCCGCACAGGGTGACAGGGTGACAGAGCCCAGTGCTCCACAAAGCCCAGGGGGAAGGAGCCCCCCGACCCCCAGAGCTCGGGGTGCCCTTCAGCCGCGGCCCTGGGGTCCCCCCACCCCATCACCCCCAGCGCCGGGGTCAGCGCTGTCACCGGCCCGGTCCCCCCCGTCCCCGGGGTCCCACCGCCCCGGTGCCCCCCGCCCGGCGCTCACCGCCAGCCCAGCACACCGTGCGCGGGGAGCCGGAGACCTGCAAGAGAGGACGGGAGAGCTCAGCGCGGCCGCCGTGGGGGCGGCAACGGCCTGGCGGCCCCTCAGGGCTCCCCCCGGGTCACTCCCTCAGCGGAGAGCCGAGGGCTTGTTTCGGTGCCCCCAGCCCGCTCCCGGTGCCCATCCCCATCCCCGGCCCGATCCCCGTTCCCGGCCCCGCTCACGGCCCAGCGCCGCCATCGCTCCGCAGCCCTTCAGGCAACCTCTGCGCGCGGTGCACCCGCTAAAGGGCCCCGCGCGGCACCGCCTCAGCGCTCCGGCGGGAAACGCGTCCCGTGCGAGCGGTTCCGCAGACAACCTCCGGCTCCGCCGCTGCCCGCGGCAAAACGATCCCAAAGTGCCCCAAAACCACCCCAAATGGGCCCCAAAACGACGCCGCCACAGGGCCCGGCGGGAAGGGCTCGTCCCGACGCTGCGGAGTCGCGGTAGCGCAGGAAAATAAGGAGCGGCCGTCCCTGGGTGGGCTCGAACCACCAACCTTTCGGTTAACAGCCGAACGCGCTAACCGATTGCGCCACAGAGACCGCGCTGCCGCCGCACCCCGCCTGGCCCCGTGTCCCGCCCGTCCCGTGTCCCGTTCCCCGTGTCCCACGTCCCGCTCCCGTGTCCGGTTCCCCGTGTCCCACATCCCGCTCCCGTGTCCCGCCCGTCCTGTGTCCGGTTCCCCGTGTCCCGCATCCCGCCCCCGTGTCCCGCCCGTCCCGTGTCCCGTGTCCCACATCCCGCCCCGCTGTCCCCTCGTGTCCCCTCGTGTCCCCCCGCCCGGCGGGGCGGTGACGGGCGGGGGGGGCGGAGCGCGGCCGTGCAGCCGAAATAGCTCAGTTGGGAGAGCGTTAGACTGAAGATCTAAAGGTCCCTGGTTCGATCCCGGGTTTCGGCAGAAGCTTTTTTTTTTTTTCCCCCGCCGTGTCCCGTTCCCCGTGTCCCACGTCCCGCTCCCGTGTCCGGTTCCCCGTGTCCCACATCCCGCTCCCGTGTCCCGCCCGTCCCGTGTCCGGTTCCCCGTGCCCCACATCCCGTCCGTCCCGTGTCCGGTTCCCCGTGTCCCACATCCCGCCCCCGTGTCCCGCCTGTCCCGTGTCCCACATCCCGCCCCGCTGTCCCCTCGTGTCCCCTCGTGTCCCTCCCCGTGTCCCCCCGCCCGGCGGGGCGGTGACGGGCGGGGGGGGCGGAGCGCGGCCGTGCAGCCGAAATAGCTCAGTTGGGAGAGCGTTAGACTGAAGATCTAAAGGTCCCTGGTTCGATCCCGGGTTTCGGCAGAAGCTTTTTTTTTTTTTCCCCCGGTCGGGAGCGGTGTTGCAAAAGCGCCGTTTTCACCCCAAAACACCCCCGAGGCTTCGGAACTCGTTATCCCCTCCGCAGACTCAGCAGCTGATTGTTTTAATATCCTGGAAACACACACACACACAACAGGGAGGGACAAAGGCCTGTAATACTGGATTAATGATAAATATTAAATAATTATGAATTAACAATAAATATGAATTAATGATCTTACACTGAGCATTGAGGAGACAGCTGAGGGAACATGGATTAATTAACACTGGACAACCACAAGCAGAGGTGGTGTGTGTCAGCCCATTTTAAATAAAGCACAAGAACAAACCCATTGAATTTATTTCCCAATGATTAATAATGTGAGACTGAGACAGGATGTTACTTTATCATCTTCGTTTTTATGCATCAGATGAAGTATCTTCACCTGCTGTAACACTGGGGTGGAAGCACCACCCACCACAGATTAAAACAATTAAACAAAAGCAGCAAATGTTGACAATTCACTTCATCCCAGTTTATTAAGTCCACATGATTGGTACACGGCGAGGCTGAGCCTGGTGCCCAGTACCGGGGGGGCAGCACTGGAGGGGGTGGGACAAGGTCAGGATCATCCCTGGAAGTGCCCAAGGCCAGGCTGGAGCACCCAGGGACAGCAGGAGGTGTCCCTGCCCCTGGCTGGGGGGTTTTAAGTCCCTTCCCCCCCCAGCCATTCCAGGATTCCACAGCTGCAGTGAAGGCAGTGAGGTGGTTCTGCTTCTGTGTGGAGCAGGATCCCAACAGCACTGGAGGAGTTTGGATGGAGAAGGGAACACAGGGTTCATGTGAAGGAGGGGGAAGTTGAACTCCATCTCCAAATGACCCCAGAGCACGGGGATGAGGGGCAGGCAGTCCCTCCCCAGCCTCTCCTCTCCAAAGGGAAAGTGCCACTCACAGCTCTGAGTTAAGTCCATCATTAATTTTTTATCCTATCCCACAAAATTAATTATCCCTCCTCACAGGCTTTAATAAAGCCTCACTTCCTGGCCTGTCCCTATAATTGAGGTACTTGAGATAACAGGAATAAGGATTCTATGGAAAAACTCATTAGAGAGCACAGAGCAATTAAAAGTGTAATTAAAATATATTCAGATAATTACTACAGCCAGGATAGACATCTGGATCCCAATTTCAACTTCTTCATTTCAAATCATCTTGGGTTTTATTGGACAAGCAAGGAGATCACATTTCATTATCAGAGAAACCCTAATCAGGGGGTTTTATGTATCATTTATCATTATTCATCATTAATTAGTTCTTGGTGACACTGCTTCCATGTGCCACAGCTCCAAAGGTAAGCAGGGAGCTGGGCAGGATTAAATTGGGAATTTAGACGAGAAAAAGACAATTAAAAGCCTCCCAAAATTCAGAGGAGGAAATAATCCAGCATTCCACTGGTTCAGTTAGAAGAAATGGTTTTTTTTTAAGCAAACCTTGATTCCTTCCCCACGGAATTTTACTTGTCATAACAAAAGAAGAACCCAAATCTTTGTCATCCAGGTGGCAGCTCTGATTTCCCACCCTTGGAGATCCACGAGGCAGGAAGGAGGAACCCCCTGGAGCCTTCCCCACCAGGAACCCCCTGGTTTGAGCAGGAGCAAGGAGCCCACCAGGCACCACAAAGCAGGACAAGATCCCTTCCCACGTCGGGTGTTTGGCTAAAAGAACCCACGTGGAAGTGGTGGAGCAGCAGCAGCTCTGCACAGCACTGGGGGTCTCTGGCAGCCCCCCAGGAGGGCACTGATGGATGAGGATCCAGTGGATCCTGAACACAGTGAGGCCATGGAAGCAGCAAGGGCTGGGAGCAGAGGATTTGGGAATATACACACAGGCTTTACAAAGAATGCCACGTTTTATACAAAGCACCACTTGTTATTTACACCTGGCCCAGGACAGTCCTGGCCACTCCTCAGCTCTCTGCAGGCTCTGGCTCAGTCTTGAGCTTTTTGCTTCCCAGGATTTGTTCATCAAACAACTCTCTCTCTCTGGAAAGAAAAACACACCTCCTTCAGGTAGCCCACCACCAGGTCCAGCTGCTCCTCATCCTCCAGGTAAGTCTCCACACAGGTCATGTACCGGCTGGAATTCAGGAATTTCTTCAGCCAACGGGATTGTTTCCCACTTTTCAAGATGCCCAGCAGATGCTCTTCAGCCCCTTTGGTCTTCACTATGAACTCCACCAGCTTCTTGTTCTCCCTGTCCCTGGCAGCTCTGGTCCTGTCAGGGAGGAGCTTCCTTGGGGGTTTCTGGGGGGAGGTGTCTGAGGAAGACTGTCCAGCCCCTTCCTCCCCTGTATTTGGGAATGCTATCTGCACCACACTCTGGTATCCCTCTTTCCTCACTGGGTAGCCTGAAAGAGAAACCACAAGAATTTATATTTAAATGTACAAAGAGCTTTTTTTCCATAGCCGTATCATTAGAAAATAAGGAATTTTATTGCTGAGAGGAGTTTTTACCCAGCCAAGAGAATTCCCAAAGGGATGGATTCACTTACTGATATCAGCAGCAAAATACTCCAGGAAGGATCCAGTGAAAGAATGACAGCCTAAAAACCCAAAACAGGGGCTGAGATCAGTTCCAGTCACCCAGGAATCAAAGCTTGGTGCTCCCTTTTCCTGCTGGATCTCAGGATGAGATCCCAGAGAAGCTGGGAGTGTCCAAGGCCAGGTTGGACAGGGCTTGGAGCACCCTGGGACAGTGGAAGGTGTCCCTGCCCATGGCAGGGGGCACTGGATGGGGTTTAAGGTCCTTCCCACCCAAACCATGCTGGGATTTGGTGATTCCATGGTCACCTGCCCCTCCTTACCCACTCGGATCCGATAGTCCCGGATCAGCTGGAGGCACCACTCGATTTCCCTGGAATAGTTCTCCTTGGCTCGTTCCTGCAAAACAAGGAGGATTTTCAGTCCCAAATCCAGCAGCTCTCCAAGAGTTTCAGCCCAGGATGCCAAGCAGGGGACAAAAATGGTCCATGGTAATTTTTTCCTCACAGTAAAACAACTCCTGCCAGAGCTGTCACAGGGATGAGAGTGGCTTTGAGGGGGCCAAGCCCCACACTGCCCCCCTGGCCATTTATATCCTCAACTTCCCACTGTGTTTGCCCAAGTCCTGCAGTTCCACATCTCTGGGATACTCACAATGAGATTCTGCTTCTCCTCACAGTCAAAGTGTTTCAGGCTCTTCAGAGACACTGAAAAACTTTTAAAGAAACACAGTCAGAGGTGCAACTCAACTGGCCCATTTCCCTGCTGATTTACTGCAGCTCTGCTTCTCCCTGAAAATCCCATTTCCCAAGGAATTAAGGAGCACAAATTTTAATGGTTTTTACTTCCACAGCAAGTATGGAATCTTCTAACAAATGAGAAGTACCTGGTTTAGAGAAAAGTTAAAGGCAGCCCAGTGTTTCCAGAAAGTTCGGGCAGCACAAGGAAAACACTGGCTGCATGCCAGGGGATTTTCTTTGTTTTGTTTTTGACTCCTCAGCTCCTCCCAGGGACTGGGAGCTGCCTCAACCTGCAGCATGACAAAGCACCTACAACCCTCACCTGCCCCAGCCCCTCCCTCCCAGATCAACCTGGAGAGGACTGTCCTCCCCTGGCACCAGGAAAAGGGCACAGGACATGGAATAGCAGAGACTGGAAATTCAGGATGGGATGGAAATCCACATTTACCCTTTTTTCTTCTCATTTGTGGTGCCATCTATGAAGAGCACACAGGCCCTCCGGTGCTTCCTCTTCACTGTTTTTACCTGGAGAGAGGATAAAGCCTCAAACATCCTAATCTTGTTAAAGCAGGGATATTTTTCTGTGGATATCACCCACTACAACCCACACTTGAATTTTTGCTGTTGCTGTAACTTTGCTTTATTACACAAATATTAAAAACTCAAGGGGAAACAGCAACCAGTTCCCCCAAGGGAGTATTTTTAGTGCACAAAGGGCTTCTCCTTTCTTTTGCAAATTGGGAACAAAGTCCTGCTCCACGATAAAAGAACTGGGATAGGCCTGTGCTCTGTACAAACAGGTGTGAAGTGACCACATTTTGAGTGCTTTTAGCACAAATTGACTCCTATCGATTTTGAAATGCTTCTACTGGAAGGTCTTTTAACACTTCCAGGAAGGGCAAAAGTCACCCCAGAACTGGGAGTTGCTCCTTATCAGCAGGCTGTGAGGTGGCAGGAGCTGCTCTTACCACTGCTGGCCAGTACGGATACCGCCGCAGCTTGCACCACACCAACATCCCTTCCTCGAAGAATTTGGGTTCTGGTGAAAAAGAAGGGAAATTTTCCTTAAAAAACATTTAAAAAATAAAACAAGACAGATGCTGCCCCTTTCTTTTTTTTTTCCTCCAGGAGTTTCTCTTCAGTGCTTTTACAGTGACCCCAAAATGCAGCACAGGGAGTCCTGAACTGAAACTCAGCAACTTCAATCCCAGGCCCTTGTCCAGTTTCAGGGATTTTTTTTTTATTCTGCAGCAAAATGCCTGATGGACCCAGGAAATGCATTTGATCCCAAGCCTGGACACAGCTGGATTCCCTCCTGGAATCTCCAGGGACTGCAGGCAAACTGAAGCTCCCAGAAGGGGAAGAGCCTCAGCCCTGCTGATGTCTCACCTCGATGGGACAGAACGCTTGGGAAATCTTCCTCCTCTTCATCTGCCAGAGGTGAGAGTGGAGGGAGGCTTTCTGAGGAAACTCTCCTGGAAGACATCCCAGAGAGTTCCAGCCCTGCCAACAGCACCAGGATCCAGGGATTAGGACAGGATCAGCTTCAGAGCAGGTGAGACACACCTGAGTGTGACCTAGAGGGGATCTGACACACCTGCACACTTCTAATTAGGGAATCCTAATTCCCTGATCATGTGGATAAAAGAGGGAAAGGGGAAAAGAATGGGGCTGGCCTCAGGACCCTGCACCTACTCATTCAAAAACATTTAATCTCAATTTATCATAGAGCAGTAAGGGAAAACAAGTGTGAGCTCAAAAAACCCCCAGCTTTCCATGGAAAACCCCAAGCAACTCCAGACAACCCAAACACCACCCAAGCCCTCCCCAGCACTGAAGGCATCAGCATTTCTGCTTCCCAGGAATGGAAACCAAAAGGAATCAAAGCAGCAATTCAAGAGCCACTTCCCCAAAAACAAAGCAACATTCCAAGGTGAGTAACAGCGCTCACCACCCACACAGGATGAAGGTTTCCCTTCCCCAAGGGATTTGCCCACCTTCATCTTCCTCGGAGTCAGGGGCTTTATTCCCAGCCAGGTGTGAGGGATCCTGCTTTTCCTCCTCCTGAGGCTGAGGGAAGGCACCAGAAGGCCCAGGTGAGGATCCGGGGTGGTTCCTCCATTTCCTGTCTGTGCCTGAGGCCACACCTGCCCCATCCAGGTGTTTTCCACCCTCCGCCTCTCTCCTCCCATGCAGCTGCTTTGCCAGGCTCTCACTCTCGCTGCTGATGCTTTTCTCCAACTCGTCCGAGGCAGTTTCACAGGAGGAATCCAGGAATGTTCTCCCAGGCTGAGTTCCTGTCTTTCTGGAAGGTTCCACGGTGCCAGATTTAGAGGAGACAGAGGGAGACCCCTCCTCAGGAGCCACCTGTGCTTGATCCTGGGGGGAATCATCCCTACATCTTTTCCTTCCTTGCTGACTTCTTCCAACCTCTGGCTTAGAGGAGACTCCATTCCCTATTTTGGGTTGGATTTTCCTCTGTCTGGGTGACGATTTTGGTTCTGGATTTTTGCACTTGTGACTGTCAGGGGCTGGTGCCACACTCGAGTTCCTGGCACCACACCTGGCAGGGCTTGTGCCCCTTCCAGGTGCTTTTCCACTCCCCCCTGGAGCCACAGGACCTCCCTGGCCGCGTGCTTTGGGATCATCCTTCAGCCCGAAGTTATTCTGGGGTTTTCTTTTTCCCTTGGCAGCCTCAGGTTCCAACTTTTTAAAGCGAGAGCGCAACAAGAAGCTCTGGGAGGGGGTGGCTGGGGCAGATTTCTCCCGGGAAAATTCGGGATTTGGTCCTTCTGCAGGTGGCATTTGACTGCTGGAGTCAGTCTGATGGAGAATATCCAGGGCAATTTTAAGGGAACAGCGATATTGCAGCTCCTCCACGGCCTCACTCACGCTTTTCTTTTGCTCTGATGAGGAAAAATATTCAAGAAATGAAATGATCCTCATTATTCTACCATAAACAAATGTATTACTAAAGAAATAAGAAATGTTACTCGTAGTGTTTCTTTTAAGGTGCATTTTTTACTACTTAAATCATCCACAATTCCCAAGGCAAAGGATGGAGACACACACAGACCAAGCTGGAAGTGCCTCATTTTGAGGGAAACTCACATTTCTTCACCATCCCTCCAACAAACCACCCCAGGAAAGAGGAAAATGATAAATTTTTAACCCATTTTCCAACTTTATGGAAAAGGGGAAAAGAAAATAAGTGAAATACAGAAGCTTTATCCCCCTAGGCTGGGTTTCTGCAGGTATTTTACACCCAGAAAAGACACAAAGCAGCACATTTGGGGCTGAGTTTCTACAGGTATTTTACACCCAGAAAAGACACAAAGCAGCACATTTGGGGCTGAGTTTCTACAGGTATTTTACACCCACAAAAGACACAAAGCAGCACATTTGGGGTTGACTTTCTACAGGTATTTTACACCCAGAAAAGACACAAAGCAGCACATTTGGGGCTGAGTTTCTACAGGTATTTTACACCCAGAAAAGACACAAAGCAGCACATTTGGGCCCCTCCCTCCTCACCCAAGGTGGAGGCGATGGCCTTGATCCTCTCCTCCGTCAGGGGAACCATGTTTGCAGAGCTCACACTGACCCTGGAACACAAAACGGTGACTGGAACCGGCAGCAAAACACTCCCAGCATCACAAAACTGCTCTCAGACAGCAAAAACCCCAACCATTCCCTCCCCCAACCTGTCCTGGCTAGGGTTAAACTGCTAAACCTTCTGCAGTCAAATCCAGGATCCCATCTCCCAGACACCTTCAGATAAAAGGATTCCTTTCTTCCCCTTATGTTTTAACCTCTAAGAACCAAAGTGTGATAGGAACAAGGATACTCAACTGCTTCTCCAAGCCAAGGATTTCAGCTTTCAATCCCATCCTTTTTGTGGTGGCAACAGGACTGCCCCCAGCAACTCCAGGTTTGCACAAAACCTACAACAGAAGTGAGAAATCTTCATTTAAAATCTTGACCAACAGCAAAACGTTTATCTGAGAGCAGCTTGACAGTGCCCGGGAGCAGCTTTAAGATTGTGGAATGATAAAATCCCAGGATGGACCTGGGAAGGGATCTTCAATCCCATCCCAGCCCTGCCAAGGGCAGGGACTCCTTCACGGTCCCAAGGCTTCTCTGAAAATCCATTCCAGGCCCTCACCACCCTCACAGGGAGGATTTTTTCCCTAATGCCCCATCCAACGCTGCCCTCAGGCTGTGAGAAGTTATTCCCATCGCTCCAGGCCCTCTCCATTTTTCCTGTTGGTATCTCCACAGCTCAGACAAGTTCAGACACGTTTTGCTGGGACCTCTCCCTTCCTTCCTGCTCCGTTCCAAGCAACCTCCACAAACATTTCCTCATTCCTCCTTACCTTGGCTGGCCACAAACGCCTCTTCCACTTGCACAGAATGAACTCTTGGTCAGTCATGGCTGAGCTTCACGTGGAAAAGGGCAACGTGTTCTGAGGGGGGAAAAAAAGGAATAAAGGAGTCACCCACCTTTGTCCATTGTGGTCTTTATTTTTTAAGGAAATACAGGATTTAATCAAATATATTACTACAATCATTTTTGTTTTACCTTCAGGATCACTGATATCACCCTGCAGCTTCTCTTTAATATTATATCTTAAATTCTATTTTTCTGTAGAAGCTGTGGCTGCCCCATCCCTGGAAGTGTCCAAGGTTGGACAAGGTTTGGAGCAACCTGGGATAGTGGAAGGGATGGGACTGGATGGGCTTTAGGTCCTTCCAACCCAAACGATCCCAGGATTCATGAATTCCTTATTTCCAGGAGCACAAGTGGCTCTTGCTGTGTGAGGAAAATACTCCCAGGAATTACACAACGCAGCCGTGGGCCTGCCCAATGCACAGCTTCCTGCGACCAAACCCTGAAAACAGGGAACTACACCCTAAAAACAATGCACTGGGTAGACTTTTTCCACGTCATTTGATCCCAATTTTTACACACGATTTACAACAGAACCCTGAGCAGAGCGGCCTCAGATCCCGCAGGGCTTCCTCAAGGGCTTTAAAAAACCACATACTAAAGATCTTCCTGTACTTACAAGGTCCAGCTGCTGGGATCGCCGGGGCTCCGGGATCGCGGCCCTGCGGCGGCGGAGGGAGGGAGGAACGAGGGGCCGTTAGCGAGCCCGGAGCGGCAGGGCCGGCGCGGGACCCCCGTGAGGCGGAGCGGGGACAGCGGGAACCGCCCGGCCCCAAAAACCCACGTGAGGGGAGGGACGGGACGGCCAAACCCCCCCCACCGTGAGGGGAGGGACGGGACCCTCCTCCAAACCCCAACCGGTGAGGGGAGAGACCCCCCCAGAATCCCGCACCCGGTGAGGGACGGGACCCTCCCCCAAACCCGAACCGTGAGGGGAGGGACGGGACGGGACCCCCAGTCCAGAGACCCCTCCATAAGGGACGGCACCCCAAACCCCCCCTCCGGGAGGGATGGAACGCTCCAAGCGCCCGCTGAGGGGAGGAGCGGGACCCCTGAACAGCCTCCCCTCAGAGGGGTCGCCCCCACAGCCTTCCCTGGTGAGGGGAGGGACGGGACCCCTCAATACCCTCCCTCACAGGGGTCGCCCGCCTTCCCCAACCTTCCCTGGTGAAGGGAGGGACAGAACCCCTCAATATGGTCCCCTCAGAGGTGTCGCCCCCCCCCAACCTTCCCTGGTGAGGGGAGGGATGGAACCCCCCCAAAACGCCTCAGTGAGGCAAAGGACGGAGCCGCTCGCTTCGCCCGCTCAGAGGACGGACGGGATTCCCACACACAGCCCCGGTGCCGGTGATGGCCCCCAGACCCTCATGTCCCCCCCAGACCCCGCTTTAAGACCCGGGTTGGGGGGGTGGGAAGGGGGCACCGTTACCGAGCGCGCTCCCGATAACACCGCCTCCCGCGCGCGCCGCCGCCGCCCTCCACATGAGGATCTGCGCATGCGCCGCGCGCACCGCCCGGCACTGCCCCCGGTCCAATCAGCGAGCGCCGCCTGGCGCCCCGCCCTCCCCGCCGAGGCCAAAACACGAGGCTCAGCCGATCAGAGCGCACGCCGCAGCCTTAGCCACGCCCACCACGCCTTCTATTGGCGAGTTGGGCGGAAGCCACGCCTAGTCTGGGGAGGGCGGGCGGGGTGCGGCATGGCAACGGGGCGAGTGACGTCATAGCCGGGAGATGTGACGTCATGTGCCGGTTCGGGCTGGGCGGAGCTGCGATCGCGGCCGTGGGTTGGGGGATACCGGGCACCGGGTGGCACTACCCGAGCCCCGCAGGGTCAGTCCGAGGCGCATCCCATCCAAATCCCTGGAATGGTATCCCCAGAATCAAAATTCATGGAACGGGATCCTCAGAATCCAAATTCATGGAATGGGATAGGATCCTCAGAATCCAAATTCCTGGAACGGGATCCCTAGAATCCAAATTCATGGAATGGGATCCTCAGAATCCAAATTCCTGGAACGGGATCCCTAGAATCCAAATTCATGGAATGGGATCCTCAGAATCCAAATTCCTGGAACGGGATCCCCAGATCCAAATTTATGGAATGGGATAGGATCCTCAGAATCCAAATTCATGGAATGGAATACGATCCCCAGAATCCAAATTCCTGGAATGGAATACGATCCCCAGAATCAAAATTCCTGGAACGGGATCCCCAGAATCCAAATTTTTGGAATACGACCCCCAGAATCCAAATTCTTGGAATGGAATACGATCCCCAGAATCCAAATTTTTGGAATACGATCCCCAGAATCCAAATTCCTGGAATGGAATACGATCCCCAGAATCCAAATTTTTGGAATACGATCCCCAGAATCCAAATTCCTGGAACGGGATCCCCAGAATCCAAATTTTTGGAATACGATCCCCAGAATCCAAATTCCTGGAATGGAATACGATCCCCAGAATCCAAATTCCTGGAACGGGATCCCCAGAGCAGCTGTGGCTGCCCCTGGATCCCTGGAAGTGTCCAAGGCCAGGCTGGGCAGGGCTTGGAGCAGCCTGGGACGCACTGGAAAGCGTCCCTGGGTGTGAAAAATGAGTATTTTATGATTGGCTTTTGGCAAATATTAACGTGACTATTTTACGTGTTGTGTTAGAAAGCTTTGCTGTATTAATTTTCTTAAGTAGCGTGTTAAATACAGTTTTAGGTTATAACATAATGTTAAAATAGAAACTCTGCTATGTAGGATACTTTTTTGTCTAAAGAAAAAATAGCAGCCACAGGACGCCTAAATCTTTCAGAGAAAGAGAATTTATTGCCCCATTATCAGAATAAACTAACTTCTTCCTGCCTCACTCAGCCAGGAAAATGCTGTTAGGATTCAGAGGAAGAAGTTGACACTGACCAGACAGAATCCTGTGTTTGAATGGAATTCATGCACCATGTATGAGGTGTGTGAATGTGCAACAGGCTGTTGCTTTTAAGGGTTAATCCTCTCTTAACGTGGGTCCTTTTTTGGGCTTATTTTGCCCAGAAAGAGATACCTGGACTGTCTGTAACTCTTTGTTTTTATTGTCTCGTATTGTCCTAATCTCAGTTGTTCCAATTTTTATTACTCTAAATACATTACTATTTTAATAACCACTTTATTACTACTAAACTTTTAAAATCTTTTCACACAACCCATCCCACGGCAATCTTCAGCTTTCCAAGGAAAACAGTGACCAGGGAGCCCACGCTCAGAGATTGATGCTTTATTCACTGTCTCTACTTGGTTATCAACACCTGGCTGCCAGAACTGTCACCACCACACTGAAATAATCACTCAAACGCACTCTGCAAACAGCAACAGACCCAAAATGCACCTCCCCAGGCTCGCCCCCAGGAGTGCATTTTTCCTGTCTTTAAATATGGAATAATAAGAGACAAACTCCAGTTCTGGCTTTTCTTGCAGGCCCCCTCCTTCCTCCTGCTGGAGATACTTTGTGTAATTGATTTGTCGAGTGTAATTCCCGTTTTCCTGGGGATCCTACAACTGTTGCTCAGCCTCTTCCCTGCTCTGCAGGCTCTGGGGGTGCCAGCCTGGTCCTGCGAGGGGTTTGAATCAGCATTTCATGTCAAAGGATAGAAAACAGTCTTTAAAACCCGGGCTGGGAAACAACGAGGTCCCACGACACGACACCAGGACGGGGATGGATGCTGAGCACCCTGCAAGGCTCAGCCCTCAGGGTTAGAAAAAGGAGAGGGAAAAACTCCTGCCAAAAATGCAAAGGAAAAAGGGGAATTTCCCTGTGCTGCAGAGTCCCACGGGAACAGCGGCTTCCTTTCCCCCTGGGGCAGCTGCTTCCCCACAAAAGAGCAACTCAAATTCAAGAAGTGCAGCTCTGGCCAAGCCATGATTTTTTTCCCAATCAAACCCCTCTTGAACACCCCATTTCTCTCTGTCTTTGGCTCTCCAAACCCCACTGAGCTCTGGGGTGGATCCTGACTCGGAGCTATTTTGATTTCTCTTCGTGTTGGAGTTAAACCCAAAATTTATTTTTCCTCCCCCTGCTCTGACCTCACCCTCCTGACCCTGCTCTGTCTCCCTCAGGTCCATCACCGCTGCATCACCTTTGGCAAAACATCCAATTTTGGGGGTTTTTTTGCCCTTCCCACCCCAGCTGCTCAATCCTGTGCCCCCATCCTGGGGGAGTGAACCTCCTGTATAAATTTATTCCCTTCCAGGTGGGATTTTTACCCTGAACACGCCCTGGCAGATCCCACCAGCTCTCTGCAATTCCCACATGGAATATGGCTTTTGCTGTCTGCTTACTTGCCCTCTATTAAAATCTGTAAATAGTCATCCTTTTTCCTGCCTTAAAAAAAAAGAAAAATTCCTTTTCAAGAAGTTTGTCTGCCGATTTCATTAAAAAATAAAAATTAATAAAGGTATAAGCTCACTGACCTCCCTCAGGGAACAGCAGTTACGTGGCAAAATCTCCCAATATTCAAATTCCTGTGTTAGAATTGTGTCAATTCTGACCTGGAACGCCAAGGGGAGGCTGGACCAGTCCGTGAGCACCCCACCACCACCAGCAGGCATCCACAGCAAGGCTGAAGATGGGGAACACACCCAAAAAACCACAACCCAGGGCTCAGCTTCTGCCTGGGAATGACAAGGGAAGCACTGGCACGGGCTGTTCTCCAGAGGATCGAACATTTGGGGTCAAAGGCTCCTAAAACCCCTCCTAACACAGCAGCAGCCCCACAGCTGGGCTGGTGACAGCGCTGGACATGCCACAGCTACGCCAGAAAAATTTAAAAAAAAACCCTTTAGGATTATTTACAAGAACCCCTTAAAGACAACTCGCTGCCTTTGCAGGGAAAGGTGGGAAAAATCCTCTTTGTGCCTCGTTTTTGGGGATTCTCCCAAGCCACAGCGGCCCGAACTGCTGCAGAGTGGGAAGAAAAGTCACCGCCTCATCCCCTCAGCCGGCGGGCACAGACACAGGGACAGCGACCGGGGGCTCGCAGGACACGACACGAGGATGTCCCGAGCCCAGACCGGCTCTGGGGGATCTCGGGAGCGGCCAAGGCTGGGTGGTGTCACCGGGCCCGTTAACCGTCACAGCCAGCCCCTGGCACGGCCACCGGGGCCACGGCGGGGCAGTCGCTCTGGAACACGGGGGGGTGGTCACTCTGGAACACGGCGGGGTGGTCACTCTGGAACATGGCCACTGGGGCCACGGCAGGGCGGTCACTCGGGAACGCGCTGAGGCCTGCGCTGAGGCCTGCGCTGAGGCCTGTGCTGAGGCCTGCACTGAGGCCTGCGCTGAGGCCTGTGCTGAGGCCTGCGCTGAGGCCTGCACTGAGGCCTGCGCTGAGGCCTGTGCTGAGGCCTGCGCTGGCCTCGGGGCCGCCGGTGGCCTCAGGCTGGGCCAGGCCCCGGGCCCCGCCCTGGCCGCGGCCACTGCGGGAGCAGTCGTGGTGGCCGTGGTTGCCCAAGCGGCTGGAGGCCACCACGGCTTTCATGGCAGCCTGGGAGAGAGGGAGAGAATCAGGGAATTGTGGGATGTTCGGAGGGGATCACCCAGCCCAAATCCTGGCCTGGCCCAGGACGCCCTGACAATCCCACCCCAACAATCCTACCCCCAAAATCCCAACCCAACAATAACAGCCCAACAATCCCACCCCAACAATCCCAAACCAACAATCCTTCCCCCAAAATCCCAACCCAACAATAATAGCCCAACAATCCTTCCCCCAAAATCCCAACCCAACAATAACAGCCCAACAATCCCACCCCAACAATCCCAAACCAACAATCCCAAACCAACAATCCTACCCCCAAAATCCCAACCCAACAATAACAGCCCAACAATCCCACCCCAACAATCCCAAACCAACAATCCTTCCCCCAAAATCCCAACCCAACAATAACAGCCCAACAATCCCACCCCAACAATCCCAAACCAACAATCCCAAACCAACAATCCTACCCCCAAAATCCCACCCCAGCAATCCCACCCCAACAATCCTACCCCCAAAATCCCACCCCAGCAATCCCACCCCAACAATCCTACCCCCAAAATCCCACCCCAACAATCCCAAGCCAACAATCCCATCCCAACAATCCCACTCCAACCTCCTGGAGCTCCGGCAGCCTCGGGGCCAGGATTGAGGGAATTTGGTGCCCAGTACACTCGGTGGGGGGAACCTTCCCCTAAATTCTATCCCAAAAATCCCCAGACTGTCCCTCAGGATCCAAGAGGGTGCTGGCAGCGTTCTGCCCTTCCAGGTGGCTGGGGACAGGTGTCCCCTCCCTGTGCTGTCCCAAACAATCCCACCCCAACCTCCCGGAGCTCTGGCAGCCTCGGGGCCGGGATTGAGGGAATTCGGTGCCCAGCACCCTCAGTGAGAGGAACCTTTCCCTAAAATCCATCCCAAAAATCCCCTGACACTGCTGCGAACTCCAAGAGGCTGCTGGCAGCGTTCTGCCCTTCCCGGCCGTGGCTGGGGACAGTTGTCCCCTGGCTGTGCTGTCCCACGTCCCCGACGGCGCCGGGGGTCCCCCCTGACCTTCAGTTTCCTCCTGGCGTTGAATTCCTGCAGTTTCCTCTGCGTGCTGTCCATGTGAGCGAATTTCGCCGCTTTCCCGGTGACCCAGGGGTGCTGCAGGGCCTGCTGGACCGTCAGCCTCTTCTGGGGATCCAAAACGATCAATTTTCTGACCTGAAAGCACCAAGTTTTGTCATTGCCAAGTAACTCACGGTAAAAGAATAAATATTTATAATAAATATATTATATATATTATAGTAAATCATATAATCGATCATAAGAATAAAGAATAAAGAAAGAAGCAAAATTAATCAGAAAATCAATCTTCAAAAATAAGGAATAAATAAAGGAAATTAAAGAAAGCAAGAGTACATCATAATAAATAAATAAATAAGTAATGAATTCACGTGGAAAAATAAATCATTAATAGAAATGTGTGGGGAATAAATTAATTTTATTAGATAAATATGTGTAGTAAATACGTGAAAATAAAATAATGAAATAAAAAATGTGGTTAATAAATGAAAAGAAATAAACAAGTGCAATAAATAGATAAAAATAAAATCATAAAATAAGTGAAACCAATAATGCAAATAGTGATAAATAAATGAATCAAAATTTGTAATAAATAAATGAAAACTTGCCATAAATACATAAACATATAATCATAAAGAAATAAATCAATACTAAAATGTGATAAATAAATATAATTAAAAGAGTTAATAAATAAATGGATAAAATGAAATGATAAAATAAACAATCACCATGTTATAAATAAAGTAATTAATAAATAAAGGGATGAAAATGAAATCATAAAAGAAATTATAAACATGTGGAAGAAATAAATAAAACTGAATAAATTAATAAGTAACAATAAAGAAAGGGAGAGAAGAAGAGAAGGGAAGAGAAGTAAGATAAAATAAAAATAAATGAAAGTAAAATAAAATAAAGTATAAAATAAAAACGAATACATTAATAAATGATAATAAAGGAAGGGAGAAGAGAAGAGAAGAGAAGAGAAAGGAAGTAAAGTAAAATAAAAATAAATGAAAGTAAAATAAAATAAAGTATAAAATAAAAACAAATACATTAATAAATAACAATAAAGCAAGGAAGACGAGAAGAGACGAGAAGAGACGAGAAGAGAAGAGAAGAGAAGAGAAGAGAAGAGAAGAGAAGACAAGACAAGAGAAGACAAGAGAAGACAAGAGAAGAGAAGTAAAATGAAGTAAATAAAATAAAAATGAATTAAAATAAAGTATAAAGTATAAAGTATAAAATAAAATAAATTAAAATAAAATTCAAATTTAAAATAAAATCCCATTTAAAAGAAAAGAAAACAAAGCATTAAATAAAATAAGAATTCAAACTAAATGAAATAAATAAACATGGCAGTGTCCCAGGCCCAGCTGTGCCTCACTCACCAGATCCTTGGCGTTGGGGGACACCTCGTCCCACCAGGGGGACACGAACTCGTAGTCACAGGTGAGGATGCGGCCGTACATGTACTGATCCCCCCGCGGGTCAAAGAAGGGCTCGAAGCCGCAGAGCCTGGGGGCACAGAGCCGTGGGACGCCGTGCCACCAGCCCTGCCACCCCCCTGTCACTGTCACCTTCCCCAAAAATCCCTTCGCCAGGATTTCTTCTCCTGGGAAGCTGAGAAGCCTCAGAGAATAAAATGAAACCGGTAATTATCTGATTGTTTCCGCTGCGTTTTGCTGCTTTGGGGTGTTGTTTACCCGTTGTTTGATTCATTTCATGGAAATTGTTTTTATTTAATGACCAATCACAGCCAGCTGTGTCGGGACTCTGGAAAAAGTTTTCATTCTCATTCTTGTTAAGCCTTCTGTCTGTATCCTTTCTCTATTCTTTAGTATAGTTTCAGTGTAGTATTTATTTATTTAATGTAAAAATAATAGAAGTATTATAAAATAATAATATAGAAATAATACGCAATTATAATATTAAAACAATAAAAATAATAATAGAAAATAATATAAAATATTACAAAATTATAATATTAAAACAATAGAAAATAATAATAGAAAATAATTTAAAAATAATACACAATTATAATATTAAAACAATATAAAATAATAATAGAAAATAATATAAAATATTAAAACATTATAATATTAAAACAATAGAAAATAATAATAGAAAATAATATAAAAATAATACAAAATTATAATATTAAAACAATATAAAATAATAATAGAAAATAATATAAAATATTAAAACATTATAATATTAAAACAATAGAAAATATTAATAGAAAATAATAGAAAATAATATAAAATTATAATATTAAAACAATATAAAATAATAATAGAAAATAATATAAAATAATACTAAATTTTAATATTAAAACATATAAAACAATAATAGAAAATAATATAATATATAATATTAAATAATAAATTAGCCTTCTAAAAACATAGACTCAGTTCACTCATTTCCTCCTTCGTCCTGGGGACCCTGGAAAATTCAACACCCCTGTGGCAGGGACAGAGGGGACAAAGCCACCCCGCTGTGTCCCCTGGCTGTGACACTCACAGGATGTAGGTGATGACACCCACGCTCCACATGTCCACCTCTGGTCCATAGGGACACCCGTGCAGGATTTCGGGGGCTGGAAGGAAAATTTGGGGGGTCAAACACACCCGTGGGGGGGTTCCGGTGGAGAAAACCACCCTGGGCAGCTGCAGGTGGGGAGAAAAGGGATAAATGGGGAGGAAAGGGGATAAATAGGGAGAAAGGGGATAAATGGGGAGAAAAAAGGATAAATGGGGAGAAAAAGGGATAAATGGGGAGGAAAGGGGATAAATTGGGAGGAAAGGGGATAAATGTGGAGAAAAAGGGATAAATGGGGAGAAAAAGGGATAAATGGGGAGGAAAAGGGGATAAATGGGGAGGAAAAGGGATAAATGTGGAGGAAAAGGGATAAATGGGGAGGAAAAGGGATAAATGGGGAGAAAAAGGGATAAATGGGGAGGAAAAGGGATAAATGGGGAGGAAAGGGGATAAATGCAGGAAAAGGGATAAATGGGGAGGAAAGGGATAAATGGGGAGGAAAGGGGATAAATGCAGGAAAGGGGATAAATGGGGAGAAAAAGGGATAAATGGAGGAAAAGGGATAAATGTGGCACAGCCCCAGCTATTCCTGCACTGAGCTGTGCCTGGCCTCAGGCAGGGAAAACCCCCTGGAATGTCTCTCCCACCCCAATTTTCTGTCTCCAAAATGTCCCTCCCTCCCTCCCAATTGTCCTCTCCTGAAAATGTCCCTCTCGCCCCAGTTTTCCTCTCCCCACAATGTCCCTCCCTCCCCAATTTTCCTCTTCCCAGATTGTCCCTCTTTCTCTCCCTCCCCAATTTTCCTCTCCCCACAATATCCCTCCCTCCCTCTCTACTTCCCAATTTTTCTCTCCCCAAAATGTCTCTCTCTCTCCCTCCCTAATTTTCCTCTTCCTAGATTGTCCCTCTTTTTCTCCCTCCCTCCCCAGATTTCCTCTCCCCACATTGTCCCTCTCTCCCCCTACCCCGATTTTTGTCTCCCCACAATGTCTCTCTCTCCCTCCCCAGTTTTCCTCTCCCCAGAATGCCTCCCCCTCCCTCTCTACTTCCCAATTTTCCTCTCCCAAAAATGTCCCTCCCACCCCAATTTTCCTCTCCCCACATTGTCCCTCTCTCCCTCCCACCCCAGTTTTCCTCTCCCCACATTGTCCCTCCCTCCCTCCCTCCCTCTCCCACTCCCTCCCTCCCTCCCTCCCTCCCAATTTTCCTCTCCCCAGGGGTCCCTCCCTCCCCGTTCCCCTCCGGCTCACCGCAGTACCCCGGTGTCCCACACACGGTTTTCATGGTGTCCTGCTCATCCACGATCTTGGAGAGCCCAAAGTCACCTTGCAGGGACACAAGGGAGTGGCAGTGCCATCAGGGATGGGCACTGGGATCCCCTCCCGTGCCAGGACCCCCGGGCAGCTCCCCAACCCACCGATTTTGAGGGGAGCATCGGGGGACAGGTCTGCATAGAGCAGGTTCTCCGGCTTCAGGTCCCGGTGCACGACCCCGTTCTGGTGCAAATACTGCAAAAAAGAGGAAAAGTGGGCTGTGAAAAGGAAGGGAACGGCCTCAGACAGAATTTGGGAGGTGGCAGCAGCGACCGGGGACCTGTGACAAACTTGGGACCAGCCACCACTGTGGTGGATCCGTTTCCAGCTGGGAGTTCCTGGTTTTTAAACCCTCCTGTTGCCATGGAAACTCTGGGATGCAGAGCGGCCCTGACCTTCCTCCTTCCTCTTCTTCATCCCCGCTAAGAGCAGATCCATCTTCTCCCAGTGGTGCCTTTGGAAGGCCAAGGGCAAGTGGACAAACGAGATGTTTGGGATGGGGGCAGCTCTGAGTGCCCCTCTCCAGGGATATTTGGGGTGGGGGCATCTCCGGGCACTTCTCCCCAGGGACATTTGGGATCAGAGCTCTGGGTGCCTCTCCTCAGGGATATTTGGGATGGGGACATCTCCAGGCACTTCTCCCCAGGGATATTTGGGATCAGAACTCTGGGTACCTCTCCTCAGGGATATTTGGGTTGAGGGCAGCTCTGGGTGCTTCTCCTCAGGGATATTTGGGATCAGTGCAGCTCCAGACCCTTCTCCCCAGGGATATTTGGGATGGGGGCATCTCCGGGCACTTCTCCCCAGGGATATTTGGGGTGAGGGCAGCTCCAGGCCCTTCTCCCCAGGGATATTTGGGATCAGAGCTCTGGGTGCCTCTCCTCAGGGATATTTGGGATGGGGGCAGCTCCAGGCCCTTCTCCCCAGGGATATTTGGGATGGGGGCCAGCTCTGGCCCCTCTCCCCAGGGGTTATTTGGGGTGAGGATCAGTGCAGCTCCAGGCCCTTCTCCCCAGGGATATTTGGGATGGGGGCAGCTCTGGGTGCCCCTCCCCAGGGATATTTGGGTTGAGGGCAGCTCCAGGCCCTTCTCCCCAGGGATATTTGGGATGGGGGCAGCTCCAGGCCCTTCTCCCCAGGGATATTTGGGAGGGGGGCAGCTCCAGGCCCTTCTCCCCAGGGATATTTGGCTGCAGCCCCCGCAAGCCCCCCCTCACCGGGCTGTCCCCAGGGCCACGTTACCGAAACAGCCTCCAGGATCTGCTTGACCACGTGCGCCGCATCCCGCTCGCTGTAGAACCCCCTCTCCACGATCCTGCGGGCACACGGAGCCTTCAGCCCCCTCCATCCTCCTCCTCCTCGCAGGATCCACCCCCCAGAGCCCGTCTGTACCTGTCAAAGAGTTCTCCCCCCGTCACCAGCTCCAGCACCAGCGCGATCTCCGAGGGCGTCTCGAAAATCTCCTTCAGCTTGATCTGGAAAGGGTGACAGGAGGGATTTTGGGGTGTGGGGTGTGGGATGTGGGATGTGAGGTGTGGGATATGAGATATGGGATGTGAGGTGTGGAATATGGGATGTGGGGGGTGGGATATGGGATATAAGATATGGGATATGAGATATGGGATGTGGGATATGAGATATGGGATGTGAGGTGTGGAATATGGGATGTGGGGGGTGGGGTGTGAGATATGGGATGTGAGATGAGGGATGTGAGGTGTGGGATATGGGATGTGGGATATGGGATGTGAGGTGTGGAGTATGGCACGTGGGGTGTGGGATGAGGAATGTGAAGTGTGGGAAAAAGGGATGTGGGATATGAGATACGGGATGTGAGATGTGGGGTGTAGAGTATGGGATGTGGGGTGTAGGATATGGGATATGGGACGTGGGGTGTGGAATATGAGATGTGGAATGTGGGATGTGGGGTGTGGGATATGGGATGTGAAGTGTGAGATGTGGGTTTTGGGTGCATGGAATATGGAATATGGGATATGAGATATGGGATGTGATATATGGGATATGGGATGTGAGATATGGGATGTGCTATATGGGATATGGGATGTGAGGTGTGAGATATGAGATATGGGATGTGGGATATGAGATATGGAATGTGGGATGTGAGATATGGGATGTGGGATATGGGATGTGAGGTGTGAGATATGGAATGTGGGATATGAGATATGGGATGTAGGATGAGGGATGTGGGATATGGGATGTGGAATGTGGGATATGAGATATGGGATATGGGATGTAGGATGAGGGATGTGGGATATGGGATGCAGGAATGCATCCTGGCTGTGCTGGGAGACTTTGGCCACCAGGGAGAGTGGAAAGGGTTATTCCAGGGCAAAGATTTCCTTCCTCTGTTTGTTCGGTTTTTCCCCACTCTTGATTTGTTTTCACCTGAATTTTCTGAACTCTTTGCAGCAGCCCTGCTCACTTAACAGGGATTAAAGACGAATCTGGGAATGTGCAGAGCCCTGACCCTCTTCCCATCTCCGAGCTTGTTTCTCAGAGGAGCTCCTTGAGAGCATTGGAATTTTGCAGCTCCATGGACACCTCGGAGCCTCCATCCAGCCCTGTGGTGTGGGAGTGACTCCAGCTGCATCCCACGGGATGGATCCTGATCCTGCACACCTGGGATGGGGTGAGGGAGAGCCAGACACCCTGCAAGGTCACGGCCACTCTGGGATCAAGGTTCTGGAAATGTCCCTTGGGCTGTTCTGCAGCAGAAGCACCAAACCCGTGTTTTCCTCCTGACTTTTTGTGCTTTGGCTCCCACACGAGCCCTTTGTGCCTCCACAGCCCATCTAGAATTAACAATTCTCTCTCTTCAAGCGACGTCCAAATGCAATTTTTCCTTTTTTTTTTTTTTTTTTTTAACAAAAATGGAAACCCAAGAATTTCATGCTTCTTAAGACTTTTGTGACACTGCGAATTTCATGGGGCTTTAATCATTCCCTTCCCAGGCTGGGTGACAAGCCGTGATCCCCTGCGGGGTGAGAGACACTATGTGGCAGCTTATTGCATTATAATAATACACGGAGCACTATAATTTTCCTATTAACTTCAAAAGTTTACAATCCTATTATCAGCTGCTGCCGAGGTCGGTGCCGCACGATAGCGGCGCCGGCGTCAATAATGGAGCAGAGCAGCTCCTCTTCAAACATCACTTGAACCTGGGATGAGCAGAACCCCACGGAAAGCTCGGGGATTTAAGTATTCCAACGGGCTGGATCCTCCTCTGTGGCTCTGAGGAGCTGCTGCCTGCAGAGGGGAGGGAGGAAATTGGATTTTCTGTGCTGTTCTTGATAACACATCAGAGAGGAGCCTCTTCCCATCCACCTGGGCTGCTCCAAGTGTGTGATTCCCATCCTGGCTCTCATCCCAGCGTCTGCCCAGATGTCCTGGGATGGGGGAAATGTCTCCATGGAAGAGGCTGAAGCACCAAATTGCCCCAAAACCACTGAAATACCCCAAAACGGGCCCAAGTCGAGCTGGCTGAGAGGTTTAGAGACAACCTGTCCCCAGTGCTTTGACCTCTTTATCTGTTTTCGGGATGTTTGGGATTTCTCTTGGCTTCATCTCTTGGAAGGAAAGTTTTGGGCTTCTCCAGAGAGCAAAGCTCTGAGGATGGGATAGGCTAGGAGCAGCCGTGCCCAGGGTTTGAGGGATGCTGCAGCCTGGGAAATGGCAAGACAATGTCCCAGTGATGTCCCGACAATGTCCCAGAGATGTCCCAACATGCTCCTGTTTGGATTGTGCTCAGGGCCTGTCCCAGCCCTCAGTCCCACAGCAGATCCCAGGTGGCTTTTCCGTGTCATTTCCTTAACTCAGGTGTTCTCCTGATCCTTTTGCAGTTTCCCAGTGGAATCACGCAGTCGGGAATGAGCTTTTTTGGGACGTGGGGGGCACGGAGCCCCCCAGCCCCTGGCATTCCAGAGGGGCTCTGCTGGCCCTGGCTGGATTAGATCTGCTCCAGCCCCGCTCCTGTTATCCCTGGAGTGCTGAGCAGGCCGGACACAGCTCCAGCCCCACGGCCCTGGCCTCCTCTTTTATCTCCCCTGGCAGGATTCATTACAGACAGGCAATTTTCCGTGGGATTCATTTGATCTCCTCGATGGAAATTGCCTCCCTGGTGGAAATCTCAATCCCAAGCTGTGGGAAGGGGGAGGACGGGGGAGGGGGTCCTTGGCCTTGGATATCAGAGCTCAAAGGAGCTGCAAGGACCAGGAATTTCATGTGGCAGGGAGAGGGGAATCACCTGGATGCTGTCAGAGGGGCAGGGAGGGGACACGGGGGGCAGGGAGGGGACATGGGGTGCAGGGAGGGGACACGGGGTGCAGGAGGGGACACGGGGGGCAGGCAGGGTTTTCCACGGGGTGCTGCCTTCATCCCTGCACCAAGACAGGGTGAGGACAAGGACATTCCAGCCCTTCCCTCAGCACCAGGCTGAGTTAAGGGCAAACCCACCCCCAGCAGCCGTGGACCCGACCCAAAGGGGGGTGGCAGCTGTGTCACCAGGGCCCTACTCACGATGTTGGGGTGCGAGAGCCGCAGCAGGACCCCGATCTCCGTCCTCACGATCTTTTTGTCGATCTGGGAAGCAGAGCCCGTGCAGAGCTCGTGTCACCTGCGCTGCCAGGCCTGCCTCTGGCTCCCCACCACGCAGAGACCCCCACATCACACCCTGCACAATTCCATGTCTGTCCCAGAGCCCTCCCCCGCCCCAAATCCCAGCGCTTTTGTCCATGTGGGACCCCCAAATTGTGGGATCGATGCCTGGTACCAGCCCCTCACCCATCCTGGTGCCAAGGGGCAGGGGAGGAGAGACCACCAGCCCTCCCCCCAGCTCCCTGCTGCTCCCCCTGCCCATCCCCTGCCCCACTCACCGTTTTCTTCAGGATCTTGGCAGCGTAGGGAGCTCCCGTGCCCTTCTCCTGGCAGCTGAACACCACCGAGGTGGCTCCCCTGGAGGGCAGAGGGGACGTGAGGCTGGCACAGAGCTGGGGGTCCCGCTCCCCCTGTGCCCCCCACCAGCACCTTTGGCAGTGCCAGGCCCTGGGAGCTCAGAGTGGATCCCACTCTTCACGGATTCTGCTTTTCATGGATCTCCCTCCTCCAGCATCCCCCCATTCCTGAATTCCCCTCCTGTACCCCTCCCCTTCCTGCACCCCCTCCCGCGTCCTTCCCGGCTTTCCTGGCTGAGGCTATTTTAATTCAACCCGAGTTCTACAGGGGGTTTAAATCCTTAAGCGGCTTTCACGACGGGACGGAGCCGCCGTGTCCCCGCTCGCAGCGACAGCGACAGCCGGGGACAGCGACAGCGACACTGCCGGGGCCCCATCCCAGCCCATCCCCGCCAGGTGAGACCGCCGCGGGTGACACGGGGACCCCGCGGCCGAGGGCGATCTCAGCTCCAGTTAATCGCGTTTCCTGAGCGCCGGACGGTGAAATCAGCCCAGCGCCCCCGGCCGTTCCGGGGCTCATTTGCAATTCCGTCTCCCTGCCCGGCAGATTAATTCCTGCCCCCGAGTAATCGGCCAAGTTTTACCCGTTTTGGCTCCGCCGCCTTCTGGGACGGAGCTCAGGCTGTGCCTGGAGCTGCCCGGCAAGATCAGATCCCCAAAAGCACCGATTTCACACCGAAACCTCCCCTGAGCCCACCAACACCCCGGCAGGGAGCCCCGGGGGCTCTCCTGGAAGAGAGATTTGTCTTCAAACCCAGAGGAGATTTTGCAACTCATCCGGCTGAAGTTGGGAACGGCGTTCCCATGGCAACGGCAGCGCCGGGTACCAGCGTGGTCCGGGATGCTGCGGGATCCACGAGCCGCAGCCCCGCCCAGATCCAAAACATTTCCTCCCTTTTGCCAAACATTCTCCACGAAACTTCAGTTTACAGATAAAAAGCGATTTGGAAACGAATTGTTACAGCTGGGAGGGGAGGGGCGGCCACCACCTGCTCCAGCTCAGGAAAAAGGGCAAAAAGCTGCAATTTGACCCCAAAACGGCATCGCCGCCGCTGCGACCGCCACAACAGCTCTCTTCCAACGGGAGAAGCCACGAGGCTATTCTTGGAATTTCCCAGCTGGGCTGGTCACGGGGCAGGACCCTCCACCCCCTGTCCACAGCTGAATCCCAGCCGGGATCTGTCGCCTCTCACCCTCCCTCTACATTTTTCCGCACGGACAATTCCCAGCCTGATTCCCGCCGCTAACGAGATCATTTAGGAGCGCTCGGCTCGGCGTTTAGGAGGACTCGGGGTGGCTCCTGTGCCCGCTGTGCCCGCGGCGCTGCCCCTCACGCGTCCCCAATTAGGGCAGCGCTGCCGGAATTCGCCACACCTCGGCCCCCGGCCCCCGCAGCCGCCGCTCAAGGCCTCAAATAAATATCCCCAATCAGCCTTGCCTGCGACGGGAGATAATTGCATTTGCTTTCCAGATGAACTGGAAAATGTCGAACGATGGGGTTTGTTGAGAGCCTGGAATGTGTGGCCGGTGTGAGAGTCGGGAGCAGCCCCGGGTTGGGTCCTCCCTGCTGTCCCCTCATCCCTACGCGGTTCCCTCCATCCCTCTCCTGCTCCCCGGAGATTCCCAGCCGGAGCTGGGTCCAGCCTTGCCAGGAGAGGCTCTAAGGGAGAGCTGTGCATGGGGAGTGGGCTCCCAGCAGCCCAAATCCCACCCAGATCCCAACGTGCCGAGAGCGGGTGGCTCCAGGACTGAGACCAGTTTGATTTAAGTCTGGTGCTGAAACTGGATGGATGGATGGATGGATGGATGGATGGATGGATGGATGGATTCCAGGGGCTCCAGGCCTGTCCTCCTGTCCTACATCCCTCTGTGCAGGGCTGGGTGCTGCCAAACCCTGGGCTGATGTGACCACACCTTGATACAAACCCTTAAATTCCTGCTTTCACCAAAACTGCTGCTTTGCAGGATTCTCTGAGGATGGAAACCCTGAGGCAGCTGGGGCTGGTCCAGCCTGAGCCACCAAATCCCCCTGTTCAGAGCCAGGGTTCCTAGGCCAAGCTGCCTCCCCCCCGGCACAGCCCAGAGCCCCCACAAATGGGATCATCAGCCTTGCCAGCACAGCCTCCTGGCACCCCCTGGCACCCCCTGCCTGAGGGGCACCGGGATCACAGCCCTCAGATGGGCTCTCCAAGCCAAACCCAGAGCTGGGAATTCAGGCTCTGTGGAGGCTGGCACTGCCTGGCCTTTGTAGGGGGCTGCTGCAGGCAGGACCCTCATCGCCCACCCCCAAAGCCTTGGGGTGCTCAGAGGAGAGATGGGTCTCCCCATGATGCCATGGAATGAGGAATATCCATCTCCACACCCCCAGGGACCCCCGGTCCAACCTGCAAACCCCCAGTGAGTGCTGCCAGACCCTGGCTGCAGCATCACAGCACAGGCCAAGTGCCAGAGGGGAGGGTCTGTCACCATCCATCCCCTCATCCATCCTTCCACAGCCCTTCTGCATCCATCCTTCTCTCCTGCTTGTCCACCCCTTCCTGCATCCCTCCGTTCTTCCATCCCTCCTCATCCATTCCTCCCACATCCGTCCATCCCTTTTGTATCTGTCCCTCCCTTCCTGCATCCTTTCCTGCATCCCTTCACCCTCCATTCCCCTTCATCCCCCTCCCCCAAATCCCTCCACCTCCCCAATCCATCCCCTCTGTATTCCTCACCCCTCCCCACATCCCTCCATCCCTCCTGCCTCCCTCCAGCCCTCTCCCCACCCTGTCCCAACCAGGACCCGCTCCCAACACCCGGGGGGCTCCTGCCCCTCCCAGCCCCTCCCTGTTCGCTCTCCCCGCCCGGTACCGTCCCAGCTCGGGGCCCACGATGTAGAAATCTTCCAGTGCCGCCTCCCGGTGGGATCCATCGATCCAGAAGTCGCTCTCGCTCTTGGAGGACGGCATGGTGGGCTGGGGGCTGCGAGCTGCCTCCAGCTGCTGGGGAGACCCCGGCATGGATCGCCGCAGCCCCCCCGCCTCAC